GTCTAATTTCGGTAGAACGCATTATGAGTTGAATATCTAATATATCCGGTTGATGGTCTTACCTATATGGAGCTGATATTTGAAAATTATATATGTTAGACAAGTTCAATAGTTTTTCTCCTGCAGGGTTTGAAACTCTACATCCCCATGTTTGATGCTTGCTATTTAAGTCGCCGATTATTGTACTTTCATTGATATTAAACAGATTTTCAATATCGCTTTCCAGAATTACTTTATTTGGTTGTCTATATGCTGCTGTTATTTTAATTGTTGGTGTCGTTTCCTAGTGCTTTAGGTGTTTTTTAACAAATATAGCTACTCCCCCTGAAGCAATTCTGTGTTGCCTGTCGTTGCGATAGATTTTGAAACCTGGTACAGATGACTCGCTGTTTGTTGATGCCTGTTAGGGATTCTAGTATGTTTCTTATAACTGATGGAGTGTCGGAATCGTTGGAGGAATGATTTGGGTTTATTGTTTGCGCGTAGGTTTGGAAAGGATATCTGGGATTTTAGGTTTTGGTAGATGTTCTTGAAGTACTTGTTAGCGCTTGATTGGGAGTATGTGTTACATTGGGTTTATTTTTGGCATTTAAGTTTTTATAGTATGTGCAACCCTTGTAATTAGCTGGGTGATCTCCTTGGCAGTTTACACATTGAGGGGGTGCTTTTCTTGATTTAGTGCATTCTTTAGTCAGATGATTATTTTGACATTTTACATATCTTGGAGATAGTGTACAGGTGTCCCAATTTCGATGTCCGCATAGGCTATCTCCGAAACTAAAAGAGATCGGAAAAAAGTAGCTTACATGTCATGATCTCGTTTTTCGAGAAAATGCTAATGCCGAAAACTCCGAACAGCTATCGTCTTTTGTTTTCGCCCTATCGGCAAAAACTGAAAATTTTGCGAAAACGACAATCGCGAATATCTCACTTATTATCAAAGATGGAGTATTATAAATAAAACATTATATGGGCAACTTTTTACGAAGAATTCAGTGGCGTAGGTAGAATTTTTTTCCCATCTTTTATTTTCGAGATTTTAGACGTAACTTTATTTTTTTAAATGGAAACCATAGTTGGCTATGA